ATATTAATATTAGCGGTGGCGGTAGGAATATATAATCTTCGCATAATATCGCGGCACTTTTGCTGGCGTCGAAGACGCGATGTCCGGCGTGATCCTCGGGCGTCAATAGGTTAGCAGCGTAGATGACGACGGTGCGCGAGTGTGGATCAGTTTGTTGACGATGTTATTTTGACAATGGGAAGAAGACTACGGTATAGCGGCGGGACGTCGTCGGCCGTGCGGTACTTGCTGGACTTTGCACCGCGGCGTAAAACGACGCGGGGCTGTGTCAATTACAATAAAAATTTGTTATATATAAATATATAATTGATGATAAGCGCGCGTCTACGGGTTGGAAAATATTGTTCTCTACGAGTGGTGAGCGGGGTGGGGCGAATGCGTTACAACAGTATAGTCTCAAGGTCATACACGACGGGATACGCGACATAATAACACGTGCCGCGTGGAGTTACAAACTTATAACATACAAAAAAAATACAAACAACATACATGTGAAACTAATATAAGCGTGTTAAAAACGCTTCGATACAAATCTTTAGATAGTGTTTAATTTTAAAAAATTGGTGGATTATTCCAAAAGCTACATGATCTACTAGTTCCTTTTTAATATCCTGATTAAGATAAATTATGTCAAATGAAAAGGGATTATTAAAAAATATTATTTCTCATAAAAAAATTGTGTTGATCCATACACTTTTCAATAAATTATAGCATTATAATGTTAAAAATGTAATAAATAAAATTGAAAATTTTCACACAAAAATAGCATTTGGTAGCCATTTTCACCGTGAAGATAAAATAAAGTCCGAAATTTTTTTTTCCATGATAAAGTATATTACATTAGCTTTAATTTAAGATATGAATAAAAGTGTCAGACTTTCCGGAACACTTTCAATAGTTAAGTTGAAAAAGTTCTACTTACTACATGCATTATTTAGATTTGAACCCCCCTCGTTTATAGGATAATGGTCCGATTTAAAAAAACAGTATGTCGAATGAAAGATTTATATAAATACTACTTATCATAAAAAAAATTGTAATGATCCATACATTTTTAAAAAAGTTATAGCATAATAAAGTTAAAAATGTAAAATACAAAATCGAAAATTTTCACACAAAAATAGCATTCGGTAGCTATTTTCACCCTGAAGATAAAACAAAGTCCGAAATATTTTTTTTTCATAATAAAGTTCATTACATTAGCTTTAATTTAAGATATATATAAAAGTGTCTGACTTTCCGGAACATTTTCAAAAGTCAAGTTGAAAAAATTAATTTTTGTGAAAAAGTTGTAATTTTGAATCCCCCCCTGTTTGCTGGTTAAGGGTTAAATTTATAAAAAAAATATACCAAATAAAAGGTAATAATATCATGCATCTATGTAAAAAAAACTATAGTGATATATTCATTTCTAAAAAAGTTTTTAAGTATTTTTAAGTAAAAAAAATTGAAAAAATTTCGAAAATTAGCGATTTTTAAATTTGTAATTTTTTTGGAGGTTTCCCCCATTTACGGGGAACGAGGCCATTTTTTTCAATTTTTGAGGGTAATGTCTTCGACTAGATACGATTTGTGATCTTTTGACATACTGTTGAAAGAAATCGGTTCAGTGAGAACTGAGAAAAAGGGGTAACAGATATAAAAAAAAACACATGGTAAAATTAATACCATCAGCTTCGCATCGAAGCTAAAATAATCCAAAATATTTAGTAAACCAATAATTATTAGATTTATCAAAACATTGTGGACTAATATAAATTTTTAGATTATGGTTAACGAAACAGTATTTCTTGGTGCTCTACTATTCTTACAGGCTGATTAATATTCTATATTAACGACATTTTTTGGTATTTCCTTAGATGAATATATTGAACTTGAAGCAGTATTACAATTTTTGTATATTTATTTTAAAGAACAGGAGGAACTGCTTAAATCATGCTTTGTTCTTTGTCCTAAAATATGTAATAATATAGTAAATGTATGCTGGGTATCTTTTTGTACTTCGGGAAATATATTGTTTAAAAAAAAATTACTTGGAAATATTCTTAAGAAGATTGTCAATAAGTATACAACTGCTGGATATAAATTCAATTATGAAGGTATACTTTGAAATTAAAATTTAATTAAAATAAATTTTTTTTTAAATTATAAAAATATCTATTACATTTTTTAACAGTTACAATGGTCAAATTTCATGTAATTTCTATACCATTTTTTATATTTATATTCATATTTTTTAAATTATTTAAACTATATCTTATATATTAATTTATAATTATAATTACTTAGAATTTAATTCATTAAGGATCTTAAGCTAATTAAATAGGCATTAATATGACAATTTAATAAAAGAATTTATATAAGATACTTGTAATGTATTACAAATCAAAAATATCAAAAACATGTATTAACATTTAATAACTTGTAATGGATATGTTCGATCCAATTTTTCTTTTGTATGTAAGTTATTATTGTATGAGATAAGCGCGTTTACTCGGTGCGTACCGATTTCTTTTATTGTATTTTATAGTAGTCCAACGATGAACTCGTCATCGTAAAGGACGGCACGACGCCCACGCCAACATGTGTATACAAAATAAAGTATTATAAACTAAGTTAAAATTTTAAATTTTATCTCGTTCTTACTAAATAAGTAGTTAAAAGTAAACGTATTATATAGTCCACTCTGAGATCGAAACAGGATATTCTTTAAATCTTATGTTTGCTAACATACCAATGTAACTTTTATATTATTTAATTCTATTCAATTATTTTCAGGAATAAAGCAACTCCCATACTTTTAATAATTGTACAATTTTATTATATTTCAGATATGTTTAGTAAAATTATGATGGATTTTCCAGTAATTATTAAATCGAAGAAATTAAATGGATTTGTTTTCTAATTTTACACGTCTGTAATGATTTTTGAATGATTTGTAAAAATAAACAAAATATTTTTCAAATATTATTTATAATTATATTTTGTTACTTATTATTACGAAAAAGTTATAATGTATATTTCGACATTTACATATATAGTCCAATTAATATTTTATATTAATTTTATTTCTTATCTTCGATACAAAGCTAAGAAGTTATTAATTTTACTATGATGTATTTTTTTTTGTGTCTGTTACCACATTTTCTCAACTCTCACTAGATCGATTTTGATGAAGAATATGTCAAAAGATCACGAATCGTATCTAGTTGAAGACATTACCTTTAAAATTTGAAAAAAATTCTCTCGTTTCCCGTAAACGGGGGAATCCCTCAAAAAATTACAAATTTAAAAATCGCTAATTTTCGACATTTTTTCAATTTTTTTTTCTTAAAATTGCCATAACTTTTTTAAAAATAACCAAATGATTATATATTTTTTTTATAGATATCTTAGGTACATTTTTTAGATCTTTTAGTCTTACAAAACCATAGACTTAGTGTTGGGGGCTTAATTATTGTAAGAGTTAAAATTAATTAATGCCAGTTAAATTTGTCGATCGATATTCTATAAATTCAAATATTTTAAGTGTATGATCCTGTAAATATAAGGCTAACATAGAAAGTTTTTTATTATCATCCCATTCATTTGCTTTAGCTACGCGATCGAAATACTTAAGACATTTATCTATATCTGTTTCCACATCTCCCGAATATGATAATGGTTTGAATAAATTTTGCATATTTTTATAAATTATACACTTATATATATATATATATATATAAAACCAAAATGGTAGAAATTATTATTACGCTTAAACAGCAATTGACATTCCAGAAAAAATTATTATATTAATAATAAAAAATTTTACTTAAATAATCTAACTGTTACTCGTGTACACTTTAGGGGAATCGACTTCGTATATGAGTGCCTTAAAAAAAATAGAAAGTATATCTCGGAACTCGATTAAAATACAAAGACCGGCGCCTCTACCATATGTTAGGGACTTGTTTAATAGTTGACGATCTTGGTCAAAACCAAGAATCGGAAGTTACCCGACGTCTGCCCAAATATCGTCTCTATATCCTTAAATTAGTTTTAATTACCTGAAGGAGACACAGGCAATCGTGTACTTTAGTTACAGCGGATAGATTATTAAAAAAAATTAGACTATTGTTTTATGTCAACGATAAAGTTAAGTTAAATTCTAGATGTTCAGTAAATATAAGTTATATGTAATGTACAATGCGTCTGACCTGAATCCTAGTATAGTTGGTTAGTAGGTATATCCAAGTGAGACGGAGTTGGTTGGCTATGATGACAATTGGCGATAGACGGGTCGTTGAATAAAATAAATTAAGTTATAAATAACATAAATAAGACGAAAGTAATAGTATTGAAGACTATGTCTATAACGACCACTCAAACACAACTGCCCTTTGTTCAGTCGACGTCAGTAGCTCCGGGCTACAGATGAGTAGAATTGTCACATCAGCATCTCCCTCTATGCTAATTAATATATATTACGAATTAAATAAATAGAAATAAAACGTGTGTAATATAAGTGGTAAGAACATAGTAATAAATGTACACTTACTTGTTAGATATTAATAATACACCGAAAACCCGGTTTGAATGTATTATTGTTATCACTCATTTAGTGCGTAGTAAATTTTTATAACTAATTTACCTGCCATTACTTGATCAATAAAATTTAGTTTATACAACAGCAAATAAAAATAATGACTTCTGTATTTAATACAGTAAAATGACAATAGAAATTTGGCCTTAATTCACTTAACTTTAACAAGCTGTAACGAACGAACGGTTAATCGGATAAAAATTATAAGAATAAAATTGTTTGTAATTGTTTTTTCCTATCATATTATAAAGTTAAAAATAAGGGTTTCCATTTAAGAAAATTACAAATAAGGGTTTTTATCCTTGAAGGGACGAAAAAAATAATGGTTTGACTACATATTATTTTAGAGTTTTTTGAACTTGATATTTTTTCTCTATAATAAAATTTAAAATTTTCAATATTTTCTGAGAAAATGAGTGTCTTACTAGATTTTGATCACCCTATATACTTTATTCATTCGACATACTTTTTTTTTTAAAACAGAGCATTTCCCTATATACAGGGGGGTGCAAACCTTTAAAAATGCGTATAGAAAGTAGAACTTTTTCAACTTAACTTATGAAAATGTTGCGGAAAGACTGATATTTTTATATGTACCTTAAATTAAAGCTTATGAAATATACTTCATTTTGAAAAAAACAATTTGACTTCTGGACTTGTCTTCGTGGTAAAAACGGACATCAAAGTTAAAGAAAAACGTACGATTTCCGTGAAAAAATTGTCGATTTTATATTATTAAATTTATATTGCTATAACTTGTAATAAACCAAAAAGAAAAAAGAAAAGAAAATTAAAATAATATGGTTAAATGGATGGGTAGATAGTAAGGTAAATGGTAGGTAGGTTTATGGGGAATGAATAATGGAGGATAAAAATGGTGGTGATGTGGATTTTAATATTGAAGGTGTGAATACTTATATTATACCAAAAGAAAATCTGAGGGTTGATTCTTAGTCAGACTAAAGATATAATATAGCGTATATATGGTCGAATAATAATAAAAATTATTAAATAAGATAATAAATGGCGGAGTAACACATGTTTAAATGTGGCAAGATATGTAAGGGCGCAAAGAATATAATAATATGAATAAAGAAGAATTCAGAGGGGTGAATAAACGGAGTTTAAATACATGAGGGTAATGATCAAATAAATAAAAATGCACACAAACGTTGTGACAAAAATAATGAACTGATCTCGGGGTTGAACAATATTGAATAAATGAAGTCAATTATCCTACCAAACTTTATTACCTATCTTAATGGTTTATTACGCAATAGAGTATTTATAATTTGAAAGCGGGAATTTAAATTTGTACTTACCTTGTATCCCACGTAGTGTAATGCTTATTTTAGACAATCCAATGTTGATTATGAGTTCACATTGTATTTCACACGTTGTACACTTTGAATTAGACAGTAAATATGACCGTTTAATAAATATAGTTTAAAAAACTAAAAAAACACGCTTTTAAAGCACGTCGAACTAAAAAGTTAAAAATAATTTTTAAAATAAGTTTAAAATAATTATGAACAAAAAATACTAGTATTATTGTAATAAAAGCGTCGGGCGCTCAATATACGAAAAATATGACACAAAGCACCCACGCTTTTATCACAATAATACTAGTATTTTTTATTCATAATTATTTTAAACTTATTTTAAAAATTATTTTTAACTTTTTAGTTCGATGTGTTTTAAAAGCGTTTTTTTTTAGTTTTTTAAACTATATTTATTTTTTACTTTTTAGTTTCATGTTATGATAGTAGTTACTATCAATATCATGGTTCTTACGGGTAACGGGAAATCAGGGTTCGATTCCGGGGAGGGAGTCTAAGAAACGGCTCCCACGTCCAAAGAAAGCAGCAGGCGCGTAAATTACTCACTCCCGGAACGTGGAGGTAGTGACGAAAAATGACGATACGGAAATCATCCCTCGTAATCGGAATGAATACTTTATATCTCTTAATTANCAGCTATACTTAGTGCATGATACTTTTACGTAGTTAAGTCGCATTATTTGTATAAATATATATATTCTAATTACTATTAAAATTAATATATTAACACGATTTATTCTAATTAAGAGATATAAAGTATTCATTCCGATTACGAGGGATGATTTCCGTATCGTCATTTTTCGTCACTACCTCCACGTTCCGGGAGTGAGTAATTTACGCGCCTGCTGCTTTCCTTGGATGTGGTAGCCGTTTCTCAGACTCCCTCCCCAGAATCGAACCCTGATTTCCCGTTACCCGTAACAACCATGATATTGATAGTAACTACTATCATAACATGAAACTAAAAAGTAAAAAATAAATATAGTTTAAAAAACTAAAAAAACACGCTTTTAAAGTACATCGAACTAAAAAGTTAAAAATAATTTTTAAAATAATTATGAACAAAAAATACTAGTATTATTGTGATAAAAGCGTCGGGCGCTCAATATACGAAAAATATGGCACAAAGCACCCACGCTTTTATCACAATAATACTAGTATTTTTTGTTCATAATTATTTTAAAAATTATTTTTAACTTTTTAGTTCGATGTACTTTAAAAGCGTGTTTTTTTAGTTTTTTAAACTATATTTATTTTTTACTTTTTAGTTTCATGTTATGATAGTAGTTACTATCAATATCATGGTTGTTACGGGTAACGGGAAATCAGGGTTCGATTCTGGGGAGGGAGTCTGAGAAACGGCTACCACATCCAAGGAAAGCAGCAGGCGCGTAAATTACTCACTCCCGGAACGTGGAGGTAGTGACGAAAAATGACGATACGGAAATCATCCCTCGTAATCGGAATGAATACTTTATATCTCTTAATTAGAATAAATCGTGTTAATATATTAATTTTAATAGTAATTAGAATATATATATTTATACAAATAATGCGACTTAACTACGTAAAAGTATCATGCACTAAGTATAGCTGTGTTTTATGGCCGGGCGGGTCGGACTAACGTTATACCCGAGGTATAAACGGCGGTAGGAATATATATATATATACGTAAGGCGCATTAGACGCGGGCGTTATTGGTCAGTCAAAATAAAAATTTGTTTACATATATATAATATTGATGACAAGCACGCGTGTACGGGTACGATAACTAAAAATAAATTTTTATAGGAATAGTGTACCGTCGTATGGAGAGCGAGGCGTGGGGAGGGGTGAATGCGTATAACAGTCTAGTCTAGACAACGGAATATGCGATAACGCGTGGCGTTTGGAGAGTTACAAACATACATACATACATACATACATACATACATACATACATACATACAGGTGAAACTAATATAAGGGTGTTAATAAAGCGTTTAATTATAAATAATGCGAAACCGTTACACAAAATCTATGACTGTATTATTATATGCAAGAGATTCTATACAC